TATATTGGGCTTGGCTTGTCAAAAACAGGCAGCAGGTTGGATGTGGCCTTAAGTCTCACGATCAGTCAAGAGTGGACATCTTTGTAGTACACTGTGGCTGGAGGCTTTAACAAACCCCTTATAAGTCTCACTAGAGATAGCATATGATATCTTAAATACTTTATCACTTTAAGGCATTTAACTGTCAGAATATTAGCTGGACATGGTGGTGCCTTAGCACTTGTGAGGCTGAGACAGAAGCGTCACCACAAATTTGAGGCCAGCCTAAACTACAGAGCAAGACCCTGTGTCAAAGAAAAAAATTCCGAAATTCAGCCTGAGTGACTGAGGCACGAGGATGCTTGTAAATGGTGGCGCAAGATTTAATCCCAGATAGGCAATCTAGTTCATGAGAGTGCTTTGCTCTAGCACCTGCCTTTGGGAAAGTGTCCCAGAGGAGACACTGATGCTGTTGCGAAGGACTGTCCCAGTCAGTGAAGAAGAGAAGAGACCCATCCTGGCAGGTATAGAGGGAACTCGCCTCCCTACAGCTTATAGAGGAGTTCAGTGTGCTGAACAGTGTTGAGGTGTATGGAAAGATAAAGGCTCAGAGAGCAAAGATCCTCAACTAAGTGCCTAGTCTTTCTCACTGAGCAGGGAGGGAAAATTGACGAGTTTTGGGCAGAGAAGTGAAATCAACGAGCTGGAACCCCACTTGTGGAGTGGGGGGGGGGGTCCCATGCTCCTGTTCTTTTTTTTTTGGCAGAACTGGGATTGAACTCAGGCCCTTGCACTTGCCAGGCAAGCGCTTATTCTACCAAGCTATTTCCCTGGCCCCTCTCCACAGGTTCTCTTACCTCTCTGATACATGCACATAGACCCACACATTTCTCTCAGGCAAGAAGGGGCCAAAATTTGTCTGATGTCTCCTGAGCAGCTTCGGAAGAAGTTTCCCTGGATAAACACAGAAGGGGTGGCTCTGGCATCTTTCGGTGAGCATGCCCCGTGTTGGCAGTCTGGGCCGACTACAGCTGTGCTGCAGAAAGGCTGCTCTCCTCCTGGTGACAGGGTGTGCCCAACTGTGCTGCCTCTCTGTCCATTGGGCATGGGACTGCCCGCTCCATCTGGTCCTCATGACTCTTCCCTGGCTCCCAAGTCCAGAGAAATGTTGGGGCGGCAGGAAGTACAGTGGGAGAAGAAAGCCCCAGCCCCACTTCTTTCTCCTTTTCTCTTTCCAGGGATGGAGAACGAAGGTTGGTTCGACCCCTGGTCTCTGCTTCAGGGGCTTCGGCGAAAGGTTCAGTCAATGGGAGTCCTCTTCTGCCAGGGCGAGGTGACACGTGAGTGCAGGGACCCATGCTCCGTCTTCTAGCAGCCAGGCCAAGGCCTTGGCTCCGTCCAGTGTCTCACTTGTGCGTGCACTAAGCACTGGTGTGGGCAGGTCCTGGGCAGCTTGACTGTGTTTCTCACAAGGCTGCTTTGTGACTTATGACCTGCTTAACAGTCCGCACTGTCCTGTCCCTCGTGGCAGTCCCAGTCACCTGGTCTCCACTAGCTTCCATGTCTGGGAAAATAGCTTTATCCGTTAGCTTTTTCTTCCTTCCAAAACTGGTGGGATCCCCTTTTCCCGCTTAAAGGCCACTTTCTAGGGGCAGGAAGTATGTCTTTGAAATCACAGGCAGAGCCTCACACATGCTAAGCAAGCGCTCTGCCCCTGAGCTGTGCCCCCAGGCTCTCCGCTCTTACTATTCCTCTTTCCTGCAGGTTTTGTCACTTCATCAAACCGCATGAGGAACTCAGCTGGGGAGGAGGTGAACCTGAGAAGAATCCATGAAGTCCATGTAAGTCCCTAGGGCCAGCGGCAGCTTATTACTGTCACAGTGTCGTCTGCTTCTCTCTACTCACTTTCCAGCGTGGGCAAAGTGAGGTTCAGGAGGAAGTGTCCCTCGCATGGTGCAAGGGTGTGGGCCAGGCCTCTCCCCTCACCCTCTGGTACCTGCAGGTCAAGATGGACAACAGCCTGGAGTACCAGCCAGTAGAATGTGCCATTGTGATCAACGCCGCAGGAGCCTGGTCTGGGCAGGTCGCGGAGCTGGCTGGTATTGGGAAGGGGCCGCCCGGCACCCTGCAGGGCACTAAACTACCTGTGGAGCCGAGGAAAAGGTAGCCTCTCCCAGGGCAGCTGAGGAGGTCGGGGAGAGATGGTGCGGAAGGTGGTACGCATGTGGATAGGCGGGAGGGTCACCAGCCACGCTGTTCTTGTGCTGCCCTAACCCCATGGTCATGCAGGTTTGTGTACATGTGGCACTGCCCGCAGGGGCCAGGCCTGGAGACGCCCCTGCTTACAGACACCAATGGAGTCTATTTCCGCCGAGAAGGATTGGGTAACAACTACATAGGTGGCCGTAGCCCCACTGAGGTGAGCTGAACTAGAGCCAGAGTGGGTACAGACTGGGAAGGAGACATGGGCCATGAAAATGGCTTTCAAGGGGCCCCCTGTGCTGTGTTCCTGATGTTTCACTACATTCAGTCAGAATTGGGATCTTTTTTCTTTTGAGACAAGGTCTCAGTATGTAGTACAAACTGGCCTAGAACTCGAAGCAGTCCTCCTGCCTCAGCTTCCCAAGTGCCGGGATTACAGGCATGAGCTACCACACAAGGAAGAATTGGGTTCTTTTATGTCCCCACGCTCCACCTTGTAAAGGAACCGGTGAGGTCTGGGTCTGCCCGTGTGTCTGAGCCTGCCCGTGTGTCTAAGCCCTGTCCCCGCCTGTTCCCCAGGAGGAAGAACCAGACCCAGCAGACCTCGAAGTGGACCATGACTTCTTCCAGAACAAAGTGTGGCCCCATCTGGCCTACCGGGTGCCAGCATTCGAGAGCCTCAAGGTAACTGGTGGGGGGCTTCTGTTTGCTTATGGACAGTGGACAGGGTGAGTGCTCGTGGAGCCTGCTGGTCCCCTTGGACCTGTCATTGCCATGTTCCCTCCACCTCAGAGCTGCATAGGGGTCCGTGGAGGCCACCCCATCCCACGTGCCCCTCAGCAGCTGCCCCCAGCCGGGAGGGCTGAGCGCCTCCTCTTATGTACCCACAGGTTCGCAGTGCCTGGGCTGGCTACTATGACTACAACACCTTTGACCAGAACGGTGTAGTGGGCCCCCATCCGCTGGTGGTCAACATGTACTTTGCTACGGGCTTCAGCGGCCACGGCCTCCAGCACGCCCTGGGTGTGGGGCGAGCCGTGGCCGAGATGCTGCTGAATGGCCATTTCCAGACCATCGACATGAGCCCCTTCCTCTTCAGCCGCTTCTACTTAGAGGAGAAGCTCCTGGAGCAGAATATCATCTGAGCTCTAGAGCTCCGCATGGGGCCTCACCGCCCAAGTCCTCCGAGCCGTGTGCCAGGGCTTCTGTCCCTCCCTCCCACCCTCTCGCTCTGGTCGGGCAGCCCAGTGAGCACAGGCAGTGAGCCCCAGACCAGAAGCAAGGGGCAGGGCAGGACTGTTGGCCTGATCTTTAGACAGGCCCATGCCTCCCAAGGCAGCCAGAGCCTCAGGTCCTGAGCTCCCGGCCCAGATGCACTGACTTGTCTGTGACCCCAGGCATTGACCCATAAACGTGATGAACCCCTTCACTGCCTTCTTCAGTTGCGCTTTCTTCCTGAGGCAAGAAGCTCTCAAAGCATTCCAGAGCCTTCCGCTCCTGGAGTGCGGGAGCCACAGCCCCACCCTCCTCCCAGGATCCTTCCTGGCTCCCAGGAGGTGAGCTTCCCTGTGAGCTAGTGGCCCAAGTTCCTGCAGCGATGCAGGTTGAGGAGGGAAGGGATGGGCTCACCCATCTGCCTGGTATGTGTTACACACTGGAGGTACAGCAGCAAGCAGAGCACCCGAGGTGTGTCCTGCCTTCCTCACACATCCAGATGGACAGCACTGAGCGCTGCAGAGCAGCCCAAGAGAGGCCGCCTCTGCCAGGGAGGAGTCTGTCCAGGGTGCTGACCTCCGAGCCGGAGCAAGAGGACAGGCAGGGTGGACTCAGCAGAGGGAAAACCGCCTAGGAAGGCCCAGAGCAAGGATTAAAGAGCCTGAGGCTGGGCCAGGGAGATAGCTCAGCAGCTTAGCACCTGTCTGGCAAGTGCAAGGTCCTGAGTTCAATCCCTGGTACTGCAAAAAAAAAAAAATTCTGAAGCTGCTGTGATACGGTTGGCCTGGATGGTTCATAACCACCGCGCGTTCACTACTCACACAGTCCCAGAGGCTGGAAGTTCCAAGATCAACACCAGCTTGTTGATGGTGTGGTATGGGCTGGCTGCTTCAAAAGTAGCCAACTCCCCCTGTGTCCTCCTCTGCAAGGATAAGCAACTCCTGTTGTGCTCTTTTTTAAGACAGGGTCTCTGTGTGGTTCTGGCTGGCCTGGAGCTCACTGTGAAGCCCAGGCTGGTCTCATACTTGGAGCAATCCTCCCTGCCTCAGCCTCCCAAGGGCTGGGATTACAGATGTGCACCACCACACCTAGCTCATCCTCTTACAGCAGTGCTGGTTCCACTCATGTAGGGATTTAATCATTCCCAAAGGTCACACTTCTTAATACTATCATACTGAGTCCTGGGTTCCAGCATAGGAATTTCGGGAGGACACCAGCATTTAGACCACAGCAGGATTGATAGTGACCTGAGGTTCAACTCCCAGTACTGTAAAAAGCAAAACAATCACTGTAGTATAGTGGTACAGTGCTGGCTTAGGATGTGAAACCCTGGGCTCAGTCCTCAGCACTGGAAAAACAGAAGCAAAGCAAATCAGCCCAGCTGTCTCTGGTAACAGGAAGACATCAAGGCTGGGGAGGAGGCCAGGCACAGGCTGTGGCTACAGCCGGCAGGGCAGAGACTCAAACCATCATGGTGAGGAGTAGGTGGAGTCCAAGGTGACCGAGCCACAGCAGAGTGGGGGTCACAGGACAACTATTTCTGCCACTTAAGGCAGTTTGTAGGGTACCCATAGTTACTGAGCCTTTAGTGCAGACAGCCCAATCTCAGGGCTCAAAGGAAGCGGCCTTCTGCTTTCATCTGGCCCCTGTGATGCATGCTTGTAATCCCAGCACTCTGGGAGGCTGAGGCAAGAGGATCCCAAATTCAAGCCCAGCCTGGGTAATTTTGGATTTAGTAAGCAACACTTAGAGCAACACAAGCCACCACACCATAATTCTGATGAGGAAAGGGAATGTTGAGATGTCATACATGAACAACCCTATCAGGACTGCTCAGCTTTGGGCTGAGTGGTAAGAAAAGGAAGAAATCAAATTGGGGGAGGTGGTCATGCACCTTAGATCCACATGGTCACATTACCCCACTCTGCATTCCACATGCCTCCCTGTGGGGTGGAACTTCCCAAACTGGCATGCCCGGGAACACTGCTCAGGTAGGTCAGATAAAGATGTCTTCTATAGCTGGGTCGGGGTGATACACGCCTGTAATCCCAGCACTCAGGAGGCTGATGCAGGAGGATCACTGGGAGTTCAAGACCAGCCTGGGCTACAAAATGAGGTCACAGCCAGCCTGAGCTGCATAGCAAGACTCTGTCTCAAAAAAAAAACAAAACAAAACCCTACAGTGAAAAAAGCTTGGGAACCGCTGCCTTGACACGTTGTATTATCACACTGCTCACAAATAAATCATGACTCAGATGGGGGGCACAGGAGTCAGCGTGCCTCCTTTACCCCAGAACGCGCCTTGCGGCTCCTCACTGCAGCTCTGTCCTTGTCGCTAGATGCAGGAATCACTGCCCAGCAGGGCAAAGCACTTGGATGGCATCAGACACTGCTTCCAGGGTCATCGAGGTCAACAGACAGGGAGGGGCTTGCAGCTTCCACCGCGCGCAGGCGCCCTGAGGTTCGACTTCCCAGCTGCAGCCCTGGCCGGCCTGTCCTGCAGCTGAGCCGCGTTCTACTGCTTACCTTCTCCTGTGCGCTTTAGATAAAGCTTTTCACCATGCTAAGGCTCATCGTTTTCACTGTACATTTAAAAAGGCATGAACGCGCTGCACACACTGACTAGACGGTCTAGGCTGACCGTTCACTCTGTGCCGCCCAGGCTGGCCTGGGATTCGCTGCTGTTGTCCTGCCTCAGCCTCCAGAGTGCTGGGATTACCGGTGTGTCCCACCTAGCTTGCGCACAGATCAAATGAGAGAGGCCGGGGAGATGGCTCAGAATAAGCGCTTCCCTGGCAAGCGCAAGGGTCTGAGTTCAATCCCCGGTTCCAGGAAAAAAAAAAAAAAAAAAAAAAGATCAAATGAGTGAAGTAAGGGTCCTGTGATAATTCCAACCCCTCGACCGAGAACAAATCCAGGCTGGCTCCCACGTCGGCTCCCGGGACCGCCAAGCCAGCCCTGCGCTCGGTAGCCTCGGTAGCGCGGCAGAGAGGACGCGGCGCCTCCGGGGTCAAGGCTGGGGCGGGGACGGGCGGAGCGTTGGCCTGCGCTTCCGGGAACCGGGCGCGCCCGGCCCAGAGCCCCAGGAGCCCGCTCGGCCCGCTCGCGGGAGCCCAGCGCCGCCGGCGGGATCTGCCCGCCACACGGCTGCCGCCAGCGCCCGGGTCACGTAAGCAGCGCGCAAAGGCCCTGTGGGAAAACGGTCCCTTCCTGTCGCGGCTGTTGGCGGGGGTGACAAGCCGGGCTGTGCGAAGCGGCTGCAGCCCTTCCCTGAGGACCCCGCCTCCTTCCTGCCCTGCCCGCAGCCCTGGCGGGGACTCTGGCAGTGCCTGGCTCTACTCGGGGTGCGGGGTCCGGGACGGCATCGCCACCGCGCTCGCCGATGAGCATCCAGCCTGGGCAAGACGGGGACCCCCGGACCGCACGGGTTCAGGCCTCCTGCCCTCGGGAGGAGATGTGAATTAGAAATCGCTGTGTGATAACCGCAGAGACGCCTAGCCAGGGGCCGGGTCAGGAATGACGCCAGAAACCGCAATTGAATTATAGACTTAAAATAGTGAACCAGGTGTGGTGGCACGCCGGGAACCCCTCAGCTGGGAGGCTGAGACGGGAGGATGGGAAGTTAGAGTAGAAGGTGGAGCCCCTCGGGGCAGTTTCAGCCTGGGCAATTAAGCAAGATCTTGACCTTACAAGGGGGTGGGGGCATCCCCAGTGCTAAAGAGTGCGTGGGGGCGTATACCTATGGAGAGGCGCCCAGAGCCTGCACATACGCTGAGCATTTCCTGAAAAGCTCTCTTCTAGAACAATCGGTAAACCATCACCTGCCCTCCTGCCCAGCTCAGCCCTTTTATGACCGCTTCTAGTCCCTGCCCCTCCTCCCAGAGTGATGACTAACCTGGCTTCTGAAGCAGTTGTTTGTTTGTTTGTTTGTTTGTTTGTTTCTCGGTACCGGGGATTGACCTCAGGACCCTGCACTTGCCAGGCAGGCGCTTATAAGCTGCCTTCTGACACCGTGAAATAGCCCGGCCTGGTTTGGGACTTTCTGTTCATTGAAAGCCTGTATCCTCGTGGACGCTGGGTGTTTTGGGAGCCAATGCACACTGCGTGCAGCAGTGACTTGTTCTCCCTGAGGTGCAGCGTTCTGCTGTGCGGCAGCTCTCGGGGTTTATTCATCCCTGAATAAACATGGAATTGCTGGGCATGTGTGTCCAGCGCAGTAGTTCTGCAAAGCAGTTGTGGCAGCTTGCACAGCACCAGCGGTGTGGGTGTGCCGGTGTTCTGCACCTTGAACGCCCTCCATTACCTGGGATCCCACAGCCTCTTTGCAGCAGGACCCACCAGGACTGAGGCTGAATTTGCATTCTCAGACCTGCATCTTTTCCTACCCTCTTGGCCATTTGAATATCATTTTGTGAAGTCCCTATTCAGTTCTACCTGTTTGTGTGATGTAGGGTGGAGACTACACCTGGCATGAGCTACACCTCAAGATGGAGCCCAGCTTTCTAACAGGTTGTCTTTCTTAGTAGTTTGTAGTTATTAAAATATTTGGGATAAGTTCAATCCCCGGTACCAAAAAAAAAATAAAATAAAATAAAATATTTGGGATATATGGAAAAATATGACTTTATTTCTCCACAGACTTTTACTCGTGCTATGATGCTTTTTTTGTTTTTGGTGGGTGTTTTTGTTTTGTTTTGTTTTGTTTTGAGATAATGTCTTGCTGTGTAGCCCAGGTTGTCCTTGAACTCCTGGCACTCCTCCTGCCTCAGCCCTCCAAGTGCTAGGATTATAGGGGTGCACCACCACAGCTTGCTAAAGATGCTTTAAAAAAAAAAAAAAAGTATTTGCAACTGACTCCTAGTGATCCTCCTGTTTTCAGCTTCCCCAGAGCTGGGATTTCAGGCATGTGCCACCATGCCCAGTCTCTGAGGCCAGCTCAGCACACCTAGGGGCAGGGTCCGCCTAGCATGTGATGCTTGGGATTGAACCCCGGTCCCTGAACTTGCCTAAGCAGGCACTTAGTTTGCTGAGCTATCTCACCATCCCTAAGCATGCTTTTTAATGAACAAAGTTTTCATTTTAATGGTTTCTAGTTTACCACAACCATTTGTATTATTTATGAAAAAAATCTTCCTCTGCCACAAAGTCAGGAGATCACTTCCTATGTTTTACCATTCACAGTTACAGTTACCATCCATGTGAAGCTGATTTTTTATATGGTGTGAGAGATGGGTTGAGATAAATTTTTCCATCGAGGCTATCTAAATTGGCCTAATACCATTTTGTCTCTGAGGTCTCACTATGTAGTACAGGCTGGCCCAGAACTCACTGTGTAGCTCAAACTGGCCTCAGACTCAGAAGCCTTTATTAACTCCTCCTGCCTCAGCCTCCCGAGTGCTGGGATTACAGGCTTGCACCGCCATGTCTGGCTTCATGCCCAGTTTTCTAACACATTTATTGAAAAGACCATCTTTCACCACTGACTTAAATCAAGAAATTGTACAATTGTGGGTCTCCCCTTTGGTCTCTGTCTGATTTTTTTTTTTTTTTTTTTTCAGAACCAGGGATTCCTTGTGTTTGCCAGGCAAGAACTTATTCTACTGAGCTATCTCCTCAGCCCTGTCTGATCTTGACTACCACTATCACTACCTTAATCACTGTTGCTTTATAATAAATCCTCATTATCCTGGTAGTACATACTTCAGAATTATTCCCCAAGACTGAAGGTTAACTTGGGGTTTGAGTAATTTCTTAGCATGCAGAGGCCTTGGATTTCATCCTCAAGTGATAGGATTTTTGACAGCTCAGTAAAGACATAAGAAAGATATAAGAAGCCTTTATTAACTCCAAAGACACAGAGAAGAGCAAGGGCAGATGGGGCAGATCCTCTGGCCTGGGACAAACAAAGCTGAAGCTTGCATGGATTTTCGTCAGGGGTAGAGCTTGAGGAGGTTGTTTAGAAATATCCGAGGAGGGTGGCAGTCTGTGTGTGGGGTCTCTCCTGTGGTGGTGGGAAAGGTGAAAGGATATTACACCCTGGGCTGGGTTGGAAAAGAAAGGGGGACATGGTCTCTGGGAAGATAAGCTGTTGTTCTAAGGGCTTCTGCCATATTAGATGAGCACCATAATAATTCAACAGTTCATACAAGGGCCAGAACCTATCACTCAGCACTGAAAAAAAAGAAAGTAGTAGCTATTCTGTAAACTCAAGAGCAGACTAATGTAAGAAGGTGTATAATTCCCATTCTTTGCACTTGCACCCGACCATAAACTCACTGCTGAATCAATCTATATTACATTCTGTGCCTGGGGTGTTTTGCTTTGTGTACCGGGCATTGAAGCCAGGACCGTTGCACCGAGGTCCGTCTTCAGCCCTTTTTAATTTTGTTTTTGAGACAGAGTCTTACTAAGTTGCTCAGTTGCTGAGTTTGAACTTACGATCCTCCTGCCTCAGCCTCCCAAGTGCTGAGCTTACTGGTGTGTGCACTATCCCTGGCCGACAGGTGGTCCTCTCCTAATGTACCAACTTCTTCAGCTTTCTTTCCCATCTGTTGAGATGGAGCTGTGCACATACATACCTGTACACCCACATACATGGCGTATGTAGGGTTCCCATGTGCATCTATGCAGGTGCATGTATATATCATACGTGGCAGTGTAACTGGGCAGGCACATCCCGTGCTCTTTGCCATATTCTGTTGCTTAGAGTCTGTCTATCCCATAGACCCACAGGTTCATTCCACATCCCAAGTGTGGACCTCGGGGTCACCCAAGGTCTGTCCCCACAGTTTAAAAACTATTCCCTCAGAAACATGTACTGTGACCCTGGAGCGGAAGTATAATCAGCACTTTTTTTTTCTTTTCTCTCGTGGTTTGTTTTTTGTTTTTGTTTGTTTGTTTGTTTGTTGTTGTTCTTTTTTGAGACAGAATTTCAGTGTAGCCCAGGCTGGCCTCAAACTCACAGCAATCCTCCTACCTCAGCCTCCTGATGCTGAGGTTGCAGGCCTGCACCACCATGCCCAGCATATTCAGCACTTTTAAGTGACACTATACCACAAGCCCTTGTGAATCCTGCTTAAATATCTTAGTAACTATTTGAGAATCAGCTTTAGTGAAGTGTAAAGGTGTAAAACCTCTTTCTTTCTTTTATGAATTTAGGACAGGGTCTACAGAGTGTACAGGGTCTCACTATGTAGATAGGACTCATGATACTCCTGTTTTCAGCCTCCCAAGTGCAGGGATTCCAGTCTTGTGCCACCACACCCAGTCTCAATGGCCATGTCAGCACGTCCCAGGGGCAGGGCCAGCACAGCGCGCTGGGGATCAGACCCTGGCCTCTGCATACTGCGAAGCAGGTGCTTTAGTCCGCCGAGCTATCTGGCCCTTCCTAAACTTCTTTCAATCATTGTAAACAGATCTGTTTTCGGCCCCCAATTTGAATTCAGTGCTTCTACATTCACTATCCTGATGTGATGAGAAATAAGGTCTTCGGTGCCAGTCGCTGCTGCGACAGATTCCCACAAACACAGCAGCCTCATCTTGCACAGCCTCACTACCTCGGGGTCCTGGAGGTTGGGGTCCATGTGAGTCTGCAGGGTTCCGCTCCCCTAGAGAAGCTGCCCCCGTGGGGTATAAGTGGGGCCCAGGAGATGGCTCAGTGGAATAAGCGCTTCCCTGGCAAGCTCAAGGGACTGAGTTCAACCCCCAGTTCTGAGAAAAAGAAAGAAAGAAAGAAAGAAAGAAAGAAAGAAAGAAAGAAAGAAAGAAAGAAAGAAAGAAATTGGAGAATAGATGCTGAATAATAACATATTTCCTACAGCAGAGGTCCCTAACATTTCTCTCTTCTAATAAATTCCTATGTACAATATTGGAAAAGCATTCTAGAAGGAGCAAAAGGTGTTTTGCTATTTCTTTTTCTTTCTTTTTTTTTTTTTTTTTTTGAGGCAGGGTCTCACTATGCAGTTCGGGCTGGCCTTGTGCTCACTTTTGTAGCCTCCAGGCTGGTCTTGAACTCACAGAGATCCTGCTGGCTCAGCCTCCCGAGTGCTGGGATTACAGACATGTGCCATATCTCCTGGTTCCAGGGCAGGAAGGTGAGCACCCATATCCAGGGCTGAGAGGGCAGGGCGGGGGCGAAGACAGCACAGAACTTGGGGCGGGACAGCGCACTGAGGTCCTGGTGCTTGCCACGTCGTGCTTACGCCTCTGAGCTATCTCTCTGGCTCTGCTATTTCTTTTTTTTTGGAGAAGCTCCTTCTTTCCTGTCAAGTCTTTGTGATATTCTCTGTGAAGTGGGTGTGTAAGACATGTATTATTCTGCTTTATTCCCTTACTGGGATTGAACCAAGGTACTTCACACTGAGCTATGTCCCTCACCCTCTTTTGTCATTCTGAGATACAGTCTCCCTAAATTGCTAAGTTGTGGAGGCTGGGTTCCGATCCTCCTGCCTCAGTCTCCAAAGTGCTGGAACTGCAAGTGTGTGCTACCATGCCCACCCTGCTTTATGATTTTTAAAGGCCCAGGGGCCCAGGGCAGTGGTGCACTCGTAATCCCAGGTATATTTAGGAGGCTGAGGCAGGAGGATCAGAAGTTCAAACTTAACCCATGCAATTTAGCAAGATCCTGTCTCAAAATGTAAAAACATTTTTTTTTAAAGTGCTGGGGATCTAGCTCAGTGCAAGCACTCTGGATTTAATCCCCAGTACCCAAAAAGTCTCTCTCTCTCTCTCTCTCTCTCTCTCTCTCTCTCTCTCTCACACACACACACACATACACACACACACACACACACACACACACACACACACACAGACTGCATGAAGCCACATAGCAAATCCAAAACAGCCAGCACTAGTGACTGGACCTGTCTACTCTGTTTGACCACTATGTTTGCTGTGAGGTCTGGGACAAAGTTCAGAGACTTCAGTATCTCTGCGAGCCTGTGACTGCCCCCAGTCCTGACCTCACAGAACCCATGAGGAACAAGGAAGGTGTGCGGGAGGGACGCTGGGAAACAGGCCCTGGGTATGCTTCCTGGAACTCACCCCGCTCTCCTGGCCAGAGACTTCTGCATAATACTCGCCAGCAATTACGCCACCCCACGCGAGTGGCATGTGTTGCTGGGCATTCAGACACCTCTTCCTCCCCGCTCTTCCTCCCTCCTCCCCCTCTTCCTCCCTTTCTTCCTTCTGCTCCTCCCTGTCCCTCCTTTGTCCCTTTCTTTCCCCCTCCCTAAACTGGGGATGGACCCAGGGGTTGGTGTGCTAGGCACGCTCTCTGTCACACCCTTAGCCCTAGAGTTCTGCTTACCAATGAAAAAGGTAATTACCCAAATCAGGATGTGACGTCAGTTTACCTCCTAAACCAGAGCTGGGGGTGGGGTGGGTACCTATAATCCCAGCACTGGGGGTTGTCTGAGGGAGGAGGATTTTGAAAGTTTCAAAATGGGGGGGCTAGTCTGTACTTACCTCTGGGCTAGTCTGTACAATTTAGAGATTTAGTGAGACCCTGTTTCAAACTAAAAATGTTATGTTATTTTATATGTATTTATTATTGGCTTTTGTTTTGAGACAAGGTTTCATAATGTAGCCCAGTGCAAATGGTTGGCCTCAAACTCATGGGGATCTTCCTGCCTCAGCCTCTTGAGTGTTGGATTTATAGATGTGAGCCGCCATCCACCAAGCGCAGCTAGCTGGAACTTTGAAACCTCTGTTCAGTGTGTCCAGTAATGAAATTTCTTCCTTTTGAGTTTCTAGAGATACCCTCTTCCCCCACAAAACAGCTTTGGTACTGGGAATTGAACTAGGACCTTCTCTCAGGGTTTTGAGGGTTTTTTTTGGGGGGGGGGGTGTTTGTTTATTTGTTTGTTTGAGAGACAGTCTTGCTAGGTCTCTGAATTGCCCAGGCTGGGCTTGAATATGGCCATCCTCCTGCCTCAGCTTCCCAGAGCGCTGGGAACACAGACATGCACCACCACTCCTGGCTGTGAGGTTCTGTTGGCCTCTGCAGATCCTGCAGAAAGTAAGAAAGCAGCCTCCACGCCGAGCCCCGCGCCAGCCCCTAATCTGGAGTGGTGTCTTTAGCAGGTTGCTGCTGCCCCTGCACAAGGTGGGCTCTGCGCCTCAGCCTTCTCCTGGAAACCCAGGTCAAAGGAGCCTGCAGCACCAGACCTCCTCATTCTGTGGTGGGGAGAGGATTTGGCAGGTTCCCCAACTAAGGGATCTTGGTCCTTTGTGTTTCTGTATACATTAAGAAGCAATTTGGTAAACTCCTCATGGAAAAATCAAAAATTAAAACCTGGAGTCCAGCCAAGTATGGTGAGCATGCGCGTAATCTCAGCAGCAGTCTGGGAGGCTGAGGCAGAAGGAGCGCCACGTGGAACCCAGCGGGGGCAGTCTAGCAATTTAGTGAGATCCTGTCTCAAAATAAAAAATAAAAACAAGGCTGGGAGTATAGCTCAATGAGAAAGCTCTAGGTTTAATCTTCAATAGCAGAGAAAGACAAAACAAAGCAAAAATCTTCTGGAACCTAAAATAGCATTGAATTGTAGATCACTTTAGGAAAGTGAATGTTACAATATTGTATCTTCTAAACTTTGAACAAAATGTACTCCCTCCCATATCCAGATTTTGTCTTATCTTTTGGTTAGTTTCAGGGTTTTTATTTTTGTTTTTGTTTTTTGAGACAGGGTCTCTCTATGTAGAGCAGGCTGCCCTTCAACCTACTATGCAGCTCAGGCTGGCCTCGAATTTGTGGCAGTCCTGCTACAAATAATGCTGGGATTACAGGCGTGGCCACCAGCCCAGATCCTGTTTTGTTTTGCTGAGACAGGGCCAGTCAGATAGCTCAGCAGATTAAAGCACCGCTTGGACAGACATAGATCCCAGGTTTGATCCCCAGTGTGTAGTGCCAGCCCCACCCCTGTGCTGAGACAGGTGATTGAGACTGGGTGTAGTGTTTCACACCTGTAATCCCAGCGCTTGGGAGGCTGAAAACAGGAGGATCACCTAGATCCTGTACTAAATACATGTTTTTAAAAAAAGAGAGACATAGACTCACTATGTAGCCCAGACTGTCCCTGAATTTGTAGTGATCTTCATGTCTCACCCTCCTGAGTGCTGGAATTACAGGTGTGCACCACCACACCAAGTTTATTGGCTCGATTTTTTTTTTTTTGAACATGATTGAACTCAGGCCCTTGCACTTGCCAGGCAAGTGCTTCTCCTACGGAGCCATCTCCCCGACCCTTGACTTGATTTTTTTTTGAGACACAGCCTCACTGTGTAGTGCAGGAAGGCCTTGATATCACTATGTGGCCTCGAACTCATGGTGCTGCCTCCTCCTCAGCCTCCCACGTGTTTGGATTACCGCTGTGCACCACCACACCAGACTTGTTTTGTTTTGCTTTGAAAAAAAAAGTCTGTACCAATCTTAAACTCACAGACTCAACTAGTTCTCCACTGTAGACCCCAAGTACGGGACTTTAGATGCATGCCACTGTACCTGGTTAGCTCATTTGAAAGACACACTGGGCTGGAGAAGTAGCTCAAAGGTGGCCCAGCAAGGCTCTGGGTTTGATCCCTAGCTCTGCAAAGAAAGAACAGAAGAAGTCATACCAACCCATAACATTCTCGAGCATTTATTATCCGCCATGCCGTCGGCACTCCACGTGAAGCATCTCCGCACTTCCCGCAGTAATGCTGAGAACAGTATTTCCATTTCACAGATGGAGGCGTTGAAGAAATCAGCCGGGTTCCTGAAGGCCATGGTTAGCAAGAGGTGAGACTCCAGGCACTGCTGCCCGTGGCCCTGTCTCCTGGAGCTGACTGCTAAGGGCCTGATGGCGCGGTGGTGGGTTGTTGGAGGTGGGGTCAGAGGTGGAGGACACCACACGGCACCTGCATGGACGCTCTCTGCCTCGCTTTCTGCGCTGTCTGATGCCGTCCTAACAGCAGCTGTCTGTTCCGCCTTTCAGCACTCACTGAAGGCCCTCTCAAGTGCTGCCTGTCAGCCTCGCCTCCTAGATTCCCAGCGCTCTGGACCAGGCGGAGCAGAAAACCGTGCCCGCGCTGGTCATGCGGGGCTCTTACTCTGTAAGTCTGACCTCACACCCCAGACGTGGTGCCTGATCGTGCGCCTGCAGCTTGGATGTGTTTGGGGACTGAGCCCATCAGGCCCTTCCAGGAGGCTGTTCGGGGCTGGAATGAGGCAATGCCGCTCTTGTGCTCTCTCCCTCTGTCCCTGCAGGATGGCTGCTCCTCAAGGTCAACGTTGGGTCCACTTCCAGTGTCCAGGCTGGCAGGGTTAGCTCTGAGCCCAGCACAATGGCATCGTCGCCCCCCGACCCAGTGTGTCGCTCACAGTCCAAGAAGCCCATGGGCAGGATTGTTGGTGAGTGGGCCCAGGTCAGCCTGTTCTTGTTCCTCGAGTGTCCTCATCATCCCCCCACCCCCGTGTTGGTGTGGTGGGAGGGGAGGGACACGTGGAGGACGAGGAGGAAAGAAAGCTCCTGCCTAGACTTGAGTGCCCACCCACCCAATGCTTTCTGGTGGTCAGGAAGGAGGCGAGGGTGAGCGGATTCCTGATTCCTTGGGCTCCGAGCTTTCCAGGCCCGTATTGTCCATTTCCTTTGGTTGGAAACCACAGTCCCAAGTGCTAGTATTGTGTCTTTTGTCATCTGAATCTTTGTCCCAGAACCATTCAGAGCAAGGGACCAAGCAGAGAGAAACCTAATCCCCGGAACACCATGCTATCTATCCTTATCAACAGCTGGGTTTTGCTGGGCATGGTGGCACATGCCTGTAATCCCAGAACTTGGGAAGCTGAGGCAAAAGGATCACCATGAGTTCGAGGCCAGGCTGGGCCACATAGTGAGTTCAAGGCCAACCTGAACTATATACTGAGACCCTGTCTCAAAAAGCAAAAAAAAAAGCTTTAAATCATGGAGGACTTCTACCAGAAAGCAACCATACTATATTTTTCAACAACAAAATGACCCCATTTTACAGACGTGGGAATGGAGATCGAGACAGCGAGATAACCTGCTGTGAGGTTGTAGACACAGCAAGCAGCAGATCCACCCTCAGATCTGTGTGCCAGGCTCCCAAGTGTAGGCTTGGAGTTTCTCAGCCCTGTGCTGTACAGGAGCTCTGAGCACTGGCTCTCATCCATGTTTCCCACTTAGCAGAATTCTGGTATTTCACAGGGCCAAAGAGACGCGATCACCCACTGCCCTTCCCTTCCCACAGTGGGTGGGTAATACAGCCTCATCACTTTAAGACCCACCTTATCCAGTTCCACTCTTGAGCTTAGTCAGAAGGCTGAGAAGCGATCCTCCTCCTATTCTGAGACAGCATCTTGCCATGTTGTCCAAGCTGATGTCCAACTCCTCACCAGATAATCCTCCTGCCTCAGCCTCCTCTTATAGTCGGGTCTCCACACATACACCAGCTCACCCCGCTAAGGCCATCTGGCTTTACCAGGCTGTGAAAAACCCCATAGGGCTGCAGAGCTCCTGTGTATTTTTACAGCCTTTACAGACAGGGAACTGAATGTTAGACCTAAAAGATGTGCTAAAATAATGGAGCTGTAGGTGCCTGAGAGGAGGAAGTCAGTGTTTCCCAGGGCCGGGAGCTGGCGGGTTCCTGCCCATCTTTCCCTGGCCATGTGGCTCCTGATTTCAGAGTCCACGAGAAGGTAGGCTGGGAGGAAGGCCTGGGCTGAGCGCATGTGTTCGCCTCCCTACAGACTGGTTCAGGCAAGCCCTGCTGAAGAAGCCCAAGAATGTGCCTACAGCCTCAGAAAGCTACTCCAGTGGCGACTCTCAGCTGGCCTCGCAGGACAGCGCCCAGCCACCACCGAGCCTCAGCTCAGTCAGGTCTTCTTCTCTGCCACCAACACACGTGGACACTAGCAGCAGTGGCCGCTGGAGCAAGGACTACGACGTGTGCGTGTGCCACAGCGAGGAGGACCTGGCTGCTGCCCAGGAGCTGGTCTCCTACCTGGAAGGCAGCTCTGCCCAGCTGCGCTGCTTCCTGCAGCTGCGGGACGCTGCCCCAGGCGGGGCCATCGTGTCTGAGCTGTGTCAGGCGCTGAGCAGTAGTCACTGCCGCGTGCTGCTCATCACTCCAGGCTTCCTCTGTGACCCGTGGTGCAGGTACCAGATGCTGCAGGCCCTGACCCAGGCCCCAGGCGCCGAGGGCTGCACCATCCCCTTGCTGTCTGGTCTGACGAGAGATGCCTACCCCGCTGAGCTCCGGTTCATGTACTACGTGGACTGCAGAGGCCCAGATCAGGGCTTCCACCAAGTCAAGGAAGCTGTGATGCGCTGTAAGTTGCGGGCGCAGGGCGTGGGGTGTGGGAGCAGAGGAGAGGCATCAGCCTCCCAGCTGGGTCTGAGTGGCCTTCAGGAGACAAAGGCTTAGCTTCCAAGTGCAGGCTGTGGGAAAGACGGGATTTGGATCCTGGCTTCTCCCCTTCAGAGCTTGTGAGAAGTCACCTGGACAGGCCACTTGCTTTTCTGCCACTGTTCCTTGGCTTTCTTGTTGCTCACCAAGCTCCCAGTGAGAACAGTACATATGCTGAATAAGAGCTCAGAACATGGCCAGGCACATGCCGAGTATTCGTAACAGGTCGGGCCTAGCCATATCGAGTCCTCCATACACAGGAGCTGCTAGCAGTAGCGTAGTGTGAGGTTCCTCCCTGCGATGGGGTTGGACGTGTCCACCCAAGGCTAGCAGATGCGAGGAGGGAGATTAGCTCAGGAAAGCAAAATGTAGTGAAGTGGTGGGAAGGAAGGAATTTATTGCATTTGGAATAAAACAGAGTAGATAAAAGGCAGAAGTGGTGGGGCCCTGTTGGGGAGAAACAGAGATGTGGGGTTTAGGGAGGAAGCCAAGCTTTGTGCTTCTGTCGGGTCTCTTGCAGATCTGCAGACGCTCAGTTGAAGCTTCTTGTGTGGTCATGGGACGCAGCAAGTAGCAGTTAAACTGGAAACACCTCCTACATGGCTGTGCACTCCAGGAGAGATGACAGAGGTCCAGTGTCTGCACTGCTTTGTATGTGACCCGGGCATCAGACTGTCCTCGGGCTTCCATTATTATCGGCTCCGCAGGAAAGCCACAGGGACATTGGGGACTCCCCCAGGAAGGCCAGAAGGATGTTGGGGACTTCCCCAACAAGGCCAGGAGGAAGCTGGGGACATCCCCAAGAAGGACAGGAGGAAGCCAGAAATTGAAGGTCATGAGAAGTGGTGCTGATACGTGGAGGAGCAGCCGTGTTTGCCTTGCTGCCTGGCTGGGCAGGAAGCCTGGGCCACACCCGCCCTCCTCCCTGAATGGGGCACCAGTGTGGACAGCCTCCTTCTCGGGATGAGCTGGAAGCTTAAGTTGCAGCCTCAGCGTAAAGCCTTTTCCAGCTGCCTGGGGAAGCCCTAGAACAGGCACTGGGAGAAAGCAACAGATGCCGAGTCCTTCACGCCCACACTACTGCTGTCCTCTATCCCAGAGACGATAACTTGCTTCCAAAAGCTAGGTGGAAGTGCGTTCAGCATTGCACTGTATTTTATTTTTGCATGATTGCCACTGAAGATGCAAGCCTAGAGCTGGGAGAAGCCCAGTGGCAGAGTGCACGCGTAGCAAGTCTGAGGCCCTGGGTTTCAGCCCCAGTAATAAGAATTTAAAACAGAAAACAGTGCAAACCTATGAGTCATTCTGAATGTACTGGAAAGCGGAGGGACCAGGTGGAGTGACGAGAAGGAAGCTGGAGCTCAGGGCTCAGCCCCTTCGCCTGGGTCAGAGCCCACTGACCCTTGACAACCCAAGGCCTCATCCCTGGGCCCAAGAGAGCCAAGGCGCTCACCACAGCTGTCTTCACCTTTGGACTGAGAGCAGTCAGCATTTTTCTTCTGGGAGAAGCCTGTGTTCTTCGTAGGACAGCAGGTTTCCTGCATTTGTCCTCAGTATGTTTGTTGTTGAACTGAATTCGTTCCTCTCCCAGGGTGCACTTTTATGCCCCCTTTTCTCACATTCCCCATCACATCCCTCCTTAGGAAAAAAAAAAATAGTGTCAGATGTGGTGGTGCACACCTGTAATCCCAGTGCTTGGGAGGTACACACCTGTAACCCCAGGAACTTGGAGGCCACCCTGGGCTATATAGCCACACCCTGACTCAAAAAAAAATTATGACTAAGATCTAGGAGTGGTGGTACACACATCTGTAATTCTAGCACTCTGAGAGGCTGAGGGAAGAGGTATGAAAATTCAAACCCAGCCTGGGCAATTTGGCAATTTAGCAAGAGGAAAGAACCAGGCATGTGGCTTATGCCTGTAATCCCAGCA